TGCATGGCGGCCTTCCGAAGGCTGGCGAGGAAGTCCGCTGCTTTCTCCCCTGGCGCCTGAACCTTTGCGCAAAAGTCCATGCGTGCCACGAACCTGGTGGGCTTTGGGGCCAGATGATCAGTTAGGGCCTTGATAAGGTCGTCGAAACTCTCCCCCTCCACCTCCTTGGGTGATATCAGGTTCTGTAAGAGAAGAAGAGTGTCCATCCAGCACAGGCGTATGAGATGGGACCTCTTCATTCCGGCATCGGTTACCCGCAAGCATGCGAGGTAGTTCTTGAGTATCATCACCCACGTGGTCCCTCTCCGGGTGCGATAAGTCGAAGGGGGCGATGCCCTCGTGCGAGGTTCCAGTGGCGACAGCGACGGCGACTGGGGCCGATGACGCGGAGGTGGAGGAGGAGGTAGTGGCGGCGTTTGGCTCCGACATCCTTGCTCGGCTATGTTAGGTGGCCCGAGGCGAGACGAGGCGTTGCTGGGCGAGGCGAGGCGTTGCTAAGCGAGGCGAGATCGGCGGGGCGAGGAGGCGAGACGAACTGGCGGGCTGCCGAGGCGAGACGTTGCTGGATGAGGCGAGCGGAGCGAGGCGCGACGCGGTTTGAGCGATGACCTGGCGAGCGGCGGCGGCTGCGATCTTGATCGGGCTCGGTGCGTGCTTGATCTCCTCCGGGTCTGTTCAGGAAGGGTAGAATCCCATCCTCGTCACCAGTGAAAAGTACTCAGAACGAAGAGTGATTTCAGCAAGAGTACTTTATTTAGTGAAGAACAAGACAAGGAACCCAGCTCGCAGGCTGGTTTATATGCGTTCAGAAAACCCGCCACCAAGTTCACCTAACACACCCCCTACTCCCGATAGGCTATTTACAGTAACCGGGCGACCATTGGTCTCCCGGCTGGGAAGCTAGCCCTTTTGATTGGGCCGGCTAGGATCCTACGGATCCTTTGTCTTTCGACCGAAGCTACAGGTAATTTGTGCCTGGCCAGCCCGGGCAAGTCCGGGCATGTCCGGCTGACTGCATTACACGTGGTAATGGCGGCAGTACATTACAGTGGGGGAAGGATTAAGCACCCTCTTCCCTGCCTCTTCTTTGCTCCAACCTCTCCCCTCCCAGAGATGGCTTATCCTGAAAAGAAGGCCGTCTGTCAGGCTTCCGTTGCTTGTGTCTGCACGCTGTACTCAGTTTTCTCATTGGTAATGTGTTAACAAAATAGATCTGGAAGATATTGATTGGCCAATCCATTAACAACCTTCCTTTTTCTCTTTGCAGGACTAACTGTAGCAGACCTTGTCTTTCCGTGGTAAGTGCATCTAACTGTCTGGTCTTGAAACTGGAAATTGCCCATTTGCCGTTTTCCACTATTAACATTAATAATTGATACATATAAATGTATAGACATAAATGGTTAGATATAACTAGGCATAGTTTGGAGAATTATGTTGTAAAGACAAGCCCTGCTGCAGGCTTATGGTGTGGAAGGACAAACTCCCTTTCCCTTTTCCTCCTGGCAAGAGCAAGAAGCTGGATGAAAACAGAGATGTGTTTTCAGACACAGGCTTGTCTGTCCCAGGTTCAATATTGTGGGGAAGCAGTTTTTCTCCCTACTTCTCCACAGATTGTGGTGCATTTGTACACCTTCCAGGGGTTCCATCAGCTTTTCTTCAGTCTTTCTCAAACCTACCTTGCTGCAAAATTTTGGGAAAAGAGCACAGTAAAGCTTGAATGGCTGCATGTGCGTGGGAATGTTTGGATTTTCCCACCTGTGTGGCATCCATTTTTCCTGCACCTGCTGTGTCTCTTCCCTCGGGGGCAGTGAGGTTGAGAATAACCATAGAGAAATCGGGTCAGCTGAGCCGAAGGGAAAACAGGTGAAGTCTGACATGAAGAACAGGAACAAAAACAGCGAAGGAAAGAAGTGAATCAAGGTTGAGAGGAAGACGTGAGAGGATATTGAGTAGGAGACTGCTGGGTGTTGATGATGCCGTGGGAGAAAACAAGCAGTGGAACAAGACAGGATCAGACCAGGAGGGCAGATGGATGGGAAGAAAAGCAATCTGAGCAAGAAGCCAAGAGGCTGCAAAGGACATTAAGAAGTCACCGAAGATGGAGAAGTTATAAGAATGAGATCAAGAATGCAATCAACATGGCAAGTGAAGAGGAATAACAAGATACTAAAGGAGCTACAAAGAAAAAATAAATGTTAAAAAGATGGATCAGTGTCTGAATCAAAATGGATATAAATCACCGAAACAACAACTGGAAGAGAAGAAAGAACGAGTACCAGGTCTTAAATGCAAGGAAGAAAAGATGACCTGAGGGGACAGTAAACAACTACAAGACAAGGAACATGGACAGAAAAAACCTGAATAGATTGGGGGGGGGGGCAGTCTGCCAGTGGCACTTTGAGGAAGCCCCTCCCTCGAAGGACCAGTGGTGCAGGAAAGGCGAGGGACAGGAGAGGATCCAGAGCTGCAGAGGTCACACTTCCCTTGGAGCAAAATAAGAGTTGATAAGAAAGAGCAAGAGAATGAACAAGATAAGATTTAAACAACTGAATGAAAACTTAAGAAAGCAAAGAGGACCTAGATTCAGGGAAATAAGAGCCCTAGAATCACTATGAACAAAAGATCCCATGATTCGTGAAATGTGCCCCCCCCCCGCAACCAGGATGTCCATAACCTTGAAGTCGCTGTCTGGAAATGGATTGGGGGATGCTTTTAAGTCTCTAAATCATATTTCCAGGTCCTGAAAATCCAGGAGATAATTGTTACATGCCAGAGTATTAATTTTCACATTATATTTTGCAGTTGTACCTAACCTGAGCAAAAAATTAATCTGCTTCTCTTCGCACCTGAAGAGTGTGCATGTGTTAAGTCCAGCCTATATCCCTTTAGAACACTCGGAAACAGCAGCTGTTATAAAAGTTGAAGTCAAGAGCTTCTTTCCCTGCTTTGGTTCTTTAAAAAATACATTGCATGGGATTTTTTAAAGGGCAAGAACCAACTGTCAAGCTGCACTTCAAAAGAGGATTGTGTTGGTTGTTTAGTCCGTCTGTCAAATGCAGTCCAGGGAAGGGGAAGAGGCAGACTTCCTTCCCAGAGAGAAAACAGTTGGTGTGTTCTGGTTCCACTAAAGGGTCCAGTTTGATTTCTGTGCACCCTTGGCCTGAAATGAGATGCACCCAACTAGAACACTTAATGGCCCTCAGACAGAGGAAACAAAATGCATCCATGTGGATTCTGGGTCTGTGTTGAATCTGAGATCTGCACAGAGGGCCAGGAGGGCTTAGGCAAGCGCATAGACTTTCCAATTTCAGGGGGGGGGGCTGAGGCTGGGCCAGAAGCATTGCTATGCTAGGTCCTTGAAATGGAAAAAAGGGAAAGGGAAAAAAGGGAACGACGGAAAAGAAAAATGGAAAGAAAGAGAGAGAGAAAGAGAAAAGGGGGAAGGGAATGAAGGAAAGAAAGAAATGGAAAGAAAGAAAGGAAAAGAAGGGGAAAGTGAATGAAGGAAAGGGTGGGAGGGAAAGGGTAGCAAAAAGGGAAAGAAAGAAATTGAAAGATAGAAAGGGGAAAGAAAGAAAGGAAAAGAAAGGGTGAAGGGAAGGGAAGAAAATGGAAAGAAAGAAAGGGGGAAAGGAAAGAAAGGGGGAAAGTGAATGAAGGAAAGGGTGGGAGGGAAAGGGTAGCAAAAAGGGAAAGAAAGAAATTGAAAGATAGAAAGGGGAAAGAAAGAAAGGAAAAGAAAGGGTGAAGGGAAGGGAAGAAAATGGAAAGAAAGAAAGGGGGAAAGGGAAAATGGAAAGAGAAAAATGGAAAAAGAAAGAAAGAAAGAAAGAAAGAAAGAAAGAGGAGAGGAGAGGAGAGGGAGGGGTGGAAATAAGAAGAAAAAGGAAAGGAAGAGAGGTCCCCTCTACTGGTGGGCGGCCATGAGAGTGCTCAGTTTGGCTCCCCCCTCCCCTTCTAAGTGGGAGGGCTGAAATGGCTTCCTGCTCTTTAAAGCCAGCGGCCTCCTGAATCTGCCTGTCACCTGCTGACTTTAAAGGGCAGGCAGCCATTTCAGGGCTCCCTTTCGTTCCCTCCCCTTGGGGGGGGGGTGTGAAAGGGTTGCCTCTTCAGAGCTCCCTTTCCCTTCCCCCCACTTCTAAACCGGGGAAAGCAAGGAGAGCCCTGCAAGGGTTTCCCCGCCCTTTAAAACCAGCAGCCGCCGGGTCCATCTGCCAGCTGCTGGCTTTAAAAGGCGGGCTGCCATTTCAGAGCTCCATTTCACCCTGGAAAATTTGGGGGAGAGGCTCATCCCCCGAGCCCCCCAGCCCCCCCATAATCTACACCTATGGGCTTAGGGCAAGTCCACAAAAACGTCCCCTCCCTTCCACCATCGAAGGGCCTTTCTGCCTCTTGCCTCCAAAGCGCTGGGGTGGGCCTGTTCCGCATGGCCTTGTTATTCAGTCGGAGCCATCTGATATTTGCGACCTTGGTTGGTTCTTCCCCATATTGCCTCTGCAGGTTCGTGTTCATCATGGGCACCTCCACTGCCCTGTCCTTGAGTTCCATGCTGAGGCGGGGCTGTTCTAAGGGGCAGCTGCTGCTGAAGATCCTCTGGAGAAGTTGCCTCCTGTTCCTGCTTGGGATCGTAATTGTGAACCCAAATTACTGCCTTGGGCCTTGTAAGTTCTGAGAGTTCTGTTTCACTTCATGTTGTCCGAGGAATGTTCCATGTCCCTTCGACTCAGCTGCATGGGGGTGAGGGTGAGTCTCTTGTGCTCCCTTGTGGAGAAGAGCCTCACCCAGTGCTGTGTGGGTGGAAGCGCGTGGATGGTGGGAACCACAACATGACATCCCAGAATGCAGTTCAGAGGGTTGTGTGTTTAACCCTGCAGAGTTTCTCATGAGGCAGTGCTGACTTGGGGTTCAAGAGCTGAAGAGCTGCAAAGCAAACTGTCGGCGTCCTCACGGGCCATTTGGGAAGCCCCGTGGTTCAGGTTCTCTCTGAATGTGCCATCACAAATTATCTTGATTATTGCTTTCTTTTTATCCTGTTCTTGGTGCAGCAGAACTTATTTTATTTATTTATTTTATTCATTTGATTTATACCCCGCCCTCCCCATGGAGGCAGGCTCAGGGCGGCTTACAGACATATATATAAAAATACGTTGAACAAGATATATTAAAACAGATAAAACAGTTAAAACCACAACAAATACAAAGTGCTAGCCATGCAAATAGTAAACAATGGTGGCGTTTTTCGGCATCGCTGTATTCCAGGCTCCTTGCCAGGCTATTTGATATTACTTTGATGCTGATGTTAAGGGCCAGGGCCACGATGTTAACGGGGGGCCCGGTGGAAGAGCTCCGTCTTGCAGGCCCTGCGGAACTAATGTACGAGGTCCCGCAGGGCCCTGATGTCCTCCAGGAGCTCATTCCACCAGTGCAGGGTTGCCACAGAGAAGGCCCTGGCCCTCGTCACCGGCTGGCCTGGCTTCTTTAGGACCCGGAAGGGCCAGGCATTGTTGGGATCCAGATCTTAGTGCTCTCTGGGGGACATGTGGGGAGAGGCGGTCCCTCAGGTAAGCAGGTCCCTGACCATGTAGGGCTTTAAAGGTAAGAACCAGCACCTTGAACCAAATCCAGTGTGCTATTGGCAGCCAGTGCAGCTCTTAAGTTTCATCTACTGATGCTCTTCCTTCCCAACAGCCGTGCCAAGCTTTGAGCCTCCCTCCCCTCCCTCCCACGAGGCTCCTCCCACTTGTAGTCTGTTCAGCGTCAACTGCCCCTTCGCCTTAGATCCTGACAGCCAGAGAATGAGGGATGCAGGAGCCGGCAGGAGCCCTGTTGGCTCAGAGGAATCCCAGTCGGGCAGCTCAAGCGCAGATACGGCCAGCCCAGCGGTGGGGGTGGGGAAAACTGGGCACTGCAGAGTCACGAGGTGCTTAGTGCCCATGCCAGTGTTAATCCTGGAATTAAAAGAAGAAAATCTTGCCAATCTACTCTGGTACTTGCATTCCCTTTGGAACACTGGCGGGTAAGAGGCCTTAGAGCAGGTCTCAAGACACCCAGTTTTGCCAGCTCTGACAAGGTGGCATTTCCCCCAAAATGTACTGGAGCACAGATTTAAAAATGTGTAGGTAATCGAAAAAGTTGTTTGCTCTGGAATAGCCTATTTTGCTCAGTGTCCAGCCCTGTGTCTTTATCTCTCTCTGCCTAACACAGCTCTGCCACCTCTCTTGCAGTGTCCTGGGAGAACCTGCGGATCCCAGGGGTGCTCCAGAGACTGGGGTGCACGTACCTGGTGGTTGCTGGGCTGGAGCTCCTCTTCGCCAAGCCTCTGCCCGACAGCACCAGCGTGGTGAGTGAAGGGCTGCACTGGGGCTGGACCTCCGAGTGAACGCTGATGTCCCTTTCGTTGGCCTGGGCCCAATGGAGTCTCCCCCCCCCCCTTCTGAGGAAGCACACAGGGGGATAGCTTTTCAGAGAGTGCTGTACAGAGCAGCCCTGGCTGTCAAGTAGTGCAGGAGGTCTCTAGCCAAGTCCATCCTCTCGTTTTCACGGAGCTCCGAGAAAAGCGGGACCAGGCCACCCTCAGGCACCATCCCAGCCGTGGTCTGGCCAGGCTGCCCGCAGGGGGGAGGGGCTCCCCTTGCCCCATCCTGGGACCTAGAAGAGGCCTTCAAGTGGAACGTTTTATATTTATCTGTTTGTTTATAAGAAAGACTGACCTACTGCTTTAAAGTTTAAAGAGACAGGTTTGTATTCTAAAGCAACTGATACGATCAAATAAATTAGCCAACAAGTCAAAAATGACCAGAAGAGTCCTGAGATGATATTGGAGCCCGGACTGTTGCCACAGCCTGTCAGTGCAGCCAATACCAGACAGCATGCTCGGTGTTCACACTTGAGAGAAGCTCTGCAGGATCAGGCCCAGAATCCTGTAATCCAGCATCAGAGCTAATGCTGCATTTCCCACTTGCCTTTGAGCCCTCAGTTTGTGATCGGAGTGGGAGGGAGGCTGGCTCTTGTGGAGGTTGAATCAAGAGCGCCCCCCCCCCCCCATGATTTTCACAAAGTGAGTAATTCTCTCCCCACCACTCCAAAAAGGTTTAAGCCAGCTGTCCTTCTCATGACTTGCTGTACAGAATGGAATAAATGTCTTAAAACACAGTGCAGGTAGGGGCATAGCTTCGAGATGACTGCTCATGTTGTCATCTTGCCCCCTGCAAATCCAGCATCCTGTTTCCAACAGTGGTCAGCCAGATGCCTTTTGGGAAGCTCACAAGCAGATCTGTAGCATAATAACAACAACAACAACAACAACAACAATAATAACGGTGAGGTCCTGATTTTGCCACACGCACACTCCAACGCACAGTTATTGCCTGTTTGGCTGGGCTGGTTTTCCAGGTCCAGCTCCTAATGGTGGGGAGGAGGCTCCACTCCCTTGTCTTGGAAAATAACATCTTGGTGGCCTGGGTTGGACTAAGAGCTGCCACTCCAAGCCTGAACCCTCCCCTTTTATCCTTTTAACCAAGAAGAGGAAGGGAAGAGATTGGATTTATACCCCCTCCCTTCACTACCCAAGGGAGTCTCAGAGCGGCTTACAAACTCCTTTCCCTCCCCCTCCCCACAACAGACGCCCTTATGAGGTAGGAATGGGGCTGAGAGAGCTATGATAGAAACTGCTTTTTTTCAAGAAAAGCTGTGCCAGAACTATGGCTTTCCCAAGGTCATCCAGCCAGGTGCAAGTGGAGGAGGAGTGGGGAACCAAACCCGGTTCTCCCAGATCAGAGTCCGCACACTTAACCACGACACCAAACTGGCTCTCACTCCCAAAGGTAGCGTTCCTCTACCGTACTCCCTTATGTGCTCTTTGGTGCTTGGTGAGACAGTCACATTTTAAGGCATTTGTTTACTCATTTAAAATGCCATTTTTCAAAAATAACCACTACAAGGTCATGAAGGTTAGGTGAGGGTCATGCCCAAGGGCACAAGTGAAAGGTCTCGCCCTCATGCCTCTCCTGAAATAGGAGAGAAACAGAAGTTCAGCCCAAATCTTAAAGCACCAGCACCCATCTTCCCACAGTTCCTCTCCCTATGGGTAGGGTGTTGAAAGTATAGTTGCACGACATGTGTAAGGAAACATGGTGAGTGAAATCAATGTAGTATCGGTGGGCAAGGGTCATTTCCTGCAGGAGAGCACAGGAGCAGAGCTCTGGCAGTAAAGAGCCCAGGGGGCGGGCACATGCAACAAGTCCCACCCCCTGCTCCCAGCAGCCCTCAGTCAGAGCAAGAAGCAGCCAGGTAAGTTGCAGAGCTCCCCCCGGCCCCCGGGTCCAAAACAGTCCAGTGGCACCTTTAAGACCAGGTTTTATTCAGGCACAAGCTCTCCCTCCTCTGTGAGGACAGAGCTGCACGTCCCCCGTCTCCCCCCCAATAGCTAACAATCCAAAACAGTCCAGTGGAGCCTAAGCAGTGGGTGTTGCCTTCTGACACACTTTCGGTGATGTCAGGGGGTGTGGCATATGCAAATAAGTTATGCTGATGAGTTATGCTAATGAGATCCTGTACCTCTTTTTCTATGAAATTACCCCTGTCAGTGGGGAACAGGTTTAGGAGGTATGAGGGGAATATTTTCCTCAACCCAGGGGGAGAGGCATTTGGACTAGTGAACTTGCTTCTCTCCAGTGGTTCTGAGTATGCAGTCAATCAGTTTTGACTGCAGGAAAGAGAAAGGTGGTGGCTATAATCCAGTCTGTTTTTTCATAGCCTCCTAATGTAGATGGTAGCTGACTAGGACTGAATTACCTTGATTTCGATTCCAGGGATGGGTTATGGCAGAGGTGTCAAACATGTGGCTTGCGGGCTACTGCTTCCTTCTCCTGACCACTGCTGCTGCTGCAGCAGCAAAGGGGGAAGGAAAAAGAGGGTGCAAGCATACGTACCAGATAAAAGTTCCTTCTGCTCCCTCCTGCTTCCTCCTCTGGGACTGCTGCTGCATTGCGAAGGCTCTCTTCCTCCTTTAGGGAGGAAGCATGGGGGGGGGGAGGAAAAGGAATGCACACGCATCACAGAAAAGCTCCCTCCGCTCTCTCCGGCTTCCTCCTCTGGGGCTGCTGCTGTGTTCCCAAGCCTCTCTTCCCTCGTTTGGAGAGGGAGTCCCATGGCGCCTTCAGGATCAACAAAGTTTTATTCCAGGTAGAAGCTTTCCTGTGCATGCATGCTTCTTTAAAGAGAGGGAGGTTCTTCTGACAAGCCCTGCTCTGCTGTTTATTTTGAGACCTGTTCTCTCTCTCTCTCTCTCTCTCTCTCTCTCTCTCTCTCTCACACACACACACACACACACACACACACACACACACACACACATATTAAAAAAGGAAGGGGAGCAGGAAAGAGATGCATCTGGGATAAGGGGGATTAAAGGGAAATTATTTTGGCTTATTCTGAAAAGTTTTTTTTTTAAAGATTACATTTCTCTTTGCCTATCTGGGCTTTCCTTTAAAAAACCCCCCCCCCCCCCCCGCATTTTTGTTTCATTATCTTCACTAGCACTGAGTGAATTTTGTCCAGTCTGAAAGAAACACATTACTTCACTTGGAGAGATCCCCCTTTCCAGTTCTAACAGACGAAAATAATAATAACAATAACAATAATAGAAACCTAACAGCACAGCTTGCAATCTTTATTAGCGGAAGGGAGCAAGAGTTCAGTAGCACCTTAATGACTGACAGAGATCTGTGGCAGGGGGTGAGCTTCCATGAGTCACGGCTCACTTGTTCAGATACAGCTGGAATGTGAGTCCATCTGTCCATCTTGGGAGAGTAAAGTGACTTCAGATGCCAAATGACAATAGCAGACACTGGTAATGAGAAAAGAAACCTAGGTCTCAATTCAGTCCAGGAAAATGCATTGAGCTTCATTATTAGTTGCACTTCATCAGTCTCTCTTTCTAATCTCCCTTTGAAATTCCTTTGTAAGAGAACTGCTACTCTTAGGTCAGCAACTGAATGTCCTGGAAAGTTCAAATGTCCCCCCACTGTTTTTTGAATGTTGTGGTTTCTTGTAGCTGTAGAAAGAGTGTCCAGTAGCACCTTGAAGATTAACAAAATTTGTGGCAGGGTGTGAGCTTTCATGAGTCACTGCTAACGTCTTCAGACTTATGTCCATTTATTCTTTGCATCCTCCTGGACAGAATCCTCCTAGATCAAACTGAGACCTAGGTTTACTGTCGCATTACCAATGATGATATCTCCATGCCTAATACCCCTCTGCATATCACACCTAATCCAATTAAACCTATTGCCATTAGGCATCTGAAATCATCTTTATAAAGTTTATATCTCTAGTACCTCTTGTTACATTTTATGGCACACATGGTCTGGCCCAGCAAAGTGACATTCATGTCACATCCAGCCCTTGTACCAAATGAGTTCGATACCTCTGGGTTAGGGCTTTTGCTGGTATCCTGTTCCCTGCAGGCTGCTGTTGGGTCTGGTGACCCCCAATGTACTTCAGCACCCATGCTGACAACCCCTTCTCTGGTCACCCTCAGGATGCCATGGCTCCATGGCAACTGTAGGACAGTCCCAGGTTGTGTTTGGCCTAGCCTGCAAGAAAGGGTCTATGTGGGATCTACTTTCCTACACAAAAGCCTGGTGGTTTAGTTTGGTGGTTTAGTTAGTCCATTATCTGCTGAAGGCTTGGCTGGTGTTAGCGCTTCCTCAGCATATAAGTGAGAAGCTTATTTGAATGGTTCATGCTTGAAGACTAATAATTGGTTTCCAGAATGCTCAGAGGGTTGGGGGAGGGCTGTTGAGAGTCTTGACTGCCGTTCTCTTTCGTCTCTGGTGGCAGCAGGGGGTGGGCCTGGGGGTGCAGACAGAGCGGCTGACCTCTCCCCACCTGCCAAGAATGCCTGTTTCTTGGTGTGGGAGGGAACATGCAGATCCAAAGTGGGTGGGGAGACAACTTGCGTATCAGCAGAAAATGTGCATCATATCAGAGACAGCTCCTCATGAGGCCCTTTCTGCCAGACGAGGTCTCTGGGCTTCCCTCCTTCTTTGTCTTCTGTGTGTCCTGTGAAGGAGCTTTGTTTTCCTGCACTGTTCTGAGGTGTCTTGTTTTTTTTAGTGAACTGGATTGGGCCTCAATATTACGAGAAACAAAATACAAATGATGAGGCAAATAAATAAATTTAATAATGGAAACAGCCCACCCCTATTGTTGGTTAACACTTCCTTCCCCCCACAACAGCTATTTGTAGGTGCAGTGCCAACTCCAAGGCACCAAAGGACAGTTGAAAGGCATTGGTTTTCCCAAAGAGAGCCAGGAGCTTTCTGAAACAAACCACCCATGAGCAATGAAAACTCAGGCATTGTGGAGGCCCACTACAGTGACACCCCCCCCCCAATCAAAACACCAGTCCTGGCCTGTGGTCCATTCCACAGAGCAATTGTCTGTACACAGCCCAACATGGTCATGGTTTTAAAGTAGGCCTCAGATTTCTCAGATGGGACTTCCAAATATACCACTGAACGATAGCCAAAACTTGTTGAAAATATTTTTAATTTTCAAAGTGCAGAAATAACTAAATAAGCTGTGGAAATTTAAGCCTGGAGAAGAACAAAGATAGTTCAGAAGTATTATATCCTGAACAGAAGGATGGATACCTGGCTAGGTTTGGATTTATTTCTTGTTGACTCAGG